GCAATCCTACTTCTGTAGTGATACTGCCTCGGAAACCCAAGGAGGGGTCGCTATGAGTCGGGTTTGACTCGACGGCACATAACAACAACAACAAGAAAATCTTTTGGAGCAGTTTTGCTCTGTCAAACATCAGGCTGCCATAAGTCAGGGGCCAACTTGACAGCAGTGTATACAGGGGAAAGGAACACTTCCCAACTCATTTTTAAAGCCACTATAACTGTAAAACCAAACCCTGACAAATATATTAGAAGAAAACTACAGATCAAAATTCCTCATGAACATAGATGTAAAATTCTTTAGCAAGTGTTATAAACTAGATACAGAAAAATCTGTAAAAAGATAGTACATAATGATCAAGTGGGATTTATCCCAGAAATGCAAGGTTGATTTAACTTTGAATGATATTCAGATTTTACCATGTTAGTTCAAAAAGTAGAAAACATGATTATCTGAAAATATTCAGAAAAGCATTTGAAAAGTATTAAAACTAAGTGAAGTTAGTAGGGTCACAAATATAATATATAAAATTAAATTTTTATATATAACATAAATTAAGTAAAAAGAAAATTTTAAAAATTCAATTATAATAGAGTCCTTGGGTTTCTGAGGCAGTATCTCTACAGAAGTAGATTGCCCAATCTTCCTTCTGAGGAGTGGCTGGTGCGTTTGAACTTCCAGCTTTCTGGTTAGCAGTCAAATGTCTTATACATTGCACTACCAGAGCTCCCATAATAGAGTCAGAAACATCAAGTACTCAGAAAAAAAATAATATAAAAAGCATTTTTCAAGATATTATACTGAAAACTAAAAAGTATTAGATAAATTAAAGGACATTTCAACTCAGTAAGAGGTATATCATGTTCTTAGAGAGAAAGCAGGAGCTCTGGTAGCGTAGTGCCTAAGGCTGCTAACCAGAAGGCTGGCTGTTCAAAGCCAATAGCCACTCCTTGGAAGGAAGGTTGGGCAATCTACTTCTGTAGTGATACCACCTCGGAAACCCAAGGAGGGTTCGCTATGAGTCATGTCCAACTTGACGGCACATAACAAGAAGAAGAGAGAAAGAGTCACAAATGAAATATTGACTCTTTCCAATTCAATGTATAGATTCAATGAATTTCCCAGTCAAAATTCCAAATTGTTTTGGTAGAGACTGAAAAGCTACTTTGAAAAGTATATGGGAAAAGAGAGAATGTAGAATAGTCAAAACAATTTTGCAGAAGAAAGTGACGAAGTATTTATACCACTTGAGTTCGAGGCTTCCTATAAGCTACAGAAACCAAGACAGTATGGTATGGCATAAGGATAGACATATACACAAATCAAATAACATAGGGAATCCAGAAATGGATTAACCATTCATATGGTTAATTGAAGAAAGTAAAGACTTTTAAATAAATAGTGACTGTATAATTGGATACACAAATGAAAAAAAAAATCAGTCACAACCCTCAAACCATATGCAGTTGCTTTAAGATAAATTATAGACCTAAGCATAAAAGCTAAATTATAAAGCTTCTACAAGAGAAAATAAGAAAATATCTTTATCTGGAGTTAGACAATCATTTCTTACACAGTACTAAACATAAAAGAAAAATACGATAAATTGTATTTATTAAAATACAAATCTGCTGCTAATCAATAGACACTAGTAAGAAAGTAAATAAGGAAGATATAGATGGAGAGAAAATATTTGCAATACATTATATGACAAAGAACTTATATCCAGAATGCATAAATAACTCATATTAATCAAAATAGACTAATAACACAATTTTTAAAAGACAGAAGATTTGGATAACTCACAAAAGAAAATGGCCAATATGCTCATGTAAAGTTGCTCTACAGTATTAGCCATCATGCAAAATACTAACTAAAACCACAATAAGACACCACCTTACACCTATTAGAATAGCTCTGGTGGTGTAGTGGTTAAGGCATTTGGCTGCTAACTAGAAGGTCAGCAGCTCAAACTTAACAGCCACTCTGTAGAAGAAAGATAAGGTAGTCTACTTCTATAAAGATTTACAACCTTAGAAATCCAATGGGGCTTGCTACAAGTTTGAATCGACTCTATGACAGTGAGAGAATAGCAAGGAACTCCAGTGCCACAGTGGTTAAAGCATTCAACTGCTAACCAAAAGTTGGTGGTTTGAAAACACCAGTTGCTCCTCAGGAGAATGAAGAGGCATTCTGCTTCTGTATAAGATTTTTAGCCTTGGAAACACTATGGGGCAGTTGTACCCTTTCCTAAGCACTGCTATGAGTCAATCAACTCAATGGCAGTGGAGTGGAGGTGGGGAGAATGGCTAAATTTACAAAGACTGGCAATATCTTTGATGGTGGTGATGATGTAGAAAAACTGGAAGTTGTGTGTTTTGCTACTGAGTGTATAAAGTTATATAAGAATTTGGAAAACTGTTGAGCATTTTCTAATAAATTCAAACTATATCAACTCTTTTACCTACAAATTGTACTTCTAGGTATTTGTCCAAGTGAAACAAAAATATATGTCCTCAAAAAGACTCACACAAGAATGTTCATCTTCTCAATAAAAAATTGGATAAACAAAATATTTTATATTCACACAGATGAATATATCTCAGTAATAAAAAATATTAGTATCCATCCATAATACATACATGAATGGACTTCAAAAAGTGAAAGAAGCTAGATATAAAATATGATATACTATATGATTCCATTTACATGAAATTTCAAGAACACACAAACATGGTGAAAGGGAAGGATTTTATACAATAATGATAATAAATGTAATAGGGATTTCTTCTTTGGAATAGTAAATTTGGATTACAAAGTTTCTCTGTCTTGTTTCTAGTTGATATTTTAATTTTTCTGGCTAAGAGGAAGCATATGGATTGGAAACAATGAACAATCTTTAGTGGCTCTCTCATTTTCTATTACATTTCAATGGCATCAAAATCACTAATGAAGCTATTGATTAAAATAATTTTCAAACTAATTTTCAGTATTTAAACTCTTAGCTATTATAATTTTAAGAAGTTTGTGGGACTCTTAAGAAGACAAGATATTGTACTAAGACTTTTGTATGAAATCCTAATCCATTAACCCTTTTTCCTATGTGAGGAGTGTCTGCTATCATTCTTAAGTACTATCAGTTACAAAGCAATTCTCTTTGTCACTTGACTAATTCTAAGGCATAGACCATGTAAATTAGTACTCACCAATTATTATTGTCTGTGGCTCACTTTTTACTCCAACTCCTGCACTTGTACTAGCTGCAACTTCTACGCGATATTGAATACCTGGGAATAATCCACCAATTATAACAGACCGAATGGTCGCATCCACAGTTTTGTTGATATGGAATCGAGTTTCATTCCCCAAACACCAAATCTGCAGAAAGTTAATAACAAAATAATATGAAATTATCCTTTCTGGTAATCATACTATTATAATTGATTTTTTTTTAATGGTGAACAATCTATTTTCTAGAGTTGTATTTTTGTTGTTGTTTCTGTTGTCTACCACTTGTCTGTCAATCTGTTGTACTTTGGTGGCTTATGCGTTGTTATGAGGCTGGAGACTATGTCACTGGTGTTTCAAATACCTACAGGGTCACCCATGGTGGATAAGTTTCAGCAGAGCTTCTAGACTAAGACAGACTGGGAAGAAGAATGAGGCCATCCACATGTGAAAATATTGGCCAATTAAAACCTTGTGAATAGCAGTGAAACACTGTCTGATATATCACTGGAAGAAGCTGTATACATGTTTGCAAATGGTTTTCCTAAAGTCCAATTCTAAAGTTTATTTTTTTATGTACCTTACATATTTTTATGTGTATATATATATGCATTAAAGTAATGACAATAAGGGATTATAAAACCAAACCATGTTCATTTAAATCTTGCCAGCACTGAATGCCCCAAATGAGTAATTTAGAAAGCAAAATGATTGTTTCAACACTTTTAGAAAGTGGATTTTGGTTGCAAATAGCATTTTGGTATGGATTAACACATACAATTTCCTCTAGTTAACTTATCAAGATTTACTATGCATATAATCTATAAAAATATGGTGATTAAAAGTTATAATATCTAAGGTATATAGAGATACAACTAAGTAATTTATATTTCATTTAAGAAAATATTAACTTACACAGAAGTAGTTAACAAGATTAATTGACCTAAGTTATAGGTATTGACTGAGATGAAATTAAAGCCAATATGTACATTGGCAGTAATGAAGCTTAATATTGATCAAAACATATGTATATACACATACACATGCATGAGGACAAAGTGGTAAAAAGTCTTTAAACACTAATTTTTGGAAAATAGGCCTTTGCTTAATATAGAAATCAAATTTTGGGGCATATTTTCTCAGAGATATGGAAATCTGTTACTATAAAATGTGTTCTAAAAGAATTCCATTTTGTACATATTAATATTCATATTATGTATCATTTCATGCAGGAACACACACAGTTTATTTCTGAAATGAGTGCATTCTTGAAACTTTTTCTATAAAATAATTCTCTGAATATGTTTTCATTGTTTTTCAATATGTTTTCATTATTTTCACTATGCTATCTATGTCTCTCGGAAGGAAGGTTGGGCAATCCTACTTCCGTAGTGATACTGCCTCGGAAACCCAAGGAGGGGTCGCTATGAGTCAGGGCTGACTCGACGGCACATAACAACAACAACAACAACATCTATGTCTCTGATGGAAGATATTGAGGTTTCACCCAAACACACACTTTGCTCCCAAACATGATAGTCTCTAATGACTGAACAACTTTACTACTTATGTAAAAATACATCAATATTTAACTAAATGGGAGTATAGGATGTTTAGTCACAGATTGTACAAAAATATATTACTAACTTCATTAAAACATATCATGCACACACACACAGAGTATAGTGGATAATTCAATTCTTTGCTTTTAAAACTGCTCTTACACTTGTAAAACTTTAAGATCTATATAATTTTTCTATTTGAAAATATTTCTTTTTTTAAAAAATATTATTTTTTTATTGTGATTTGGGTGAAAGTTTACAGAGCAAATTCACTTTCCATACAACAGCTTACATATACTTTGTCTCATGACATTGACTACAATTTCCCACAATGCAACAGTTCTCCTCCCACTTACTCCCCATAGTTACCTCTTCCCTATGTCCTTCCCTCCCATGTACTCCTGCTCCCTGAGCTGTCTCCCTGTGCATACACAGCCCTTCTATTCTCCCATGATTGTTCTCTCCAAGGAGTATATCTACTGATGGTAAATGTTCAGCTCATATGCCTGTGTTTTGTATGGCTGAAAGCCACAGGTGTGGGTTCAATTCCAGATCTGAAGGGCATGTAGGGGCCATAGTCTCAGTGGTTCAAGCAGGCTCTATCAGACAAGCAAAACTGGTCCTTTTTTCTTTTTAATTATTTTGAGTTTTGTTCCACATTGTTCACCCACTCTATCCAGGATGCTCTACATAGATCCCCCTCTGAGTGGTTGACAGTGGTAGTTGAGCAGCATCTAGTTCTTCTGGTCTCATAGTCATAAGGCTGAGGATCACATGGTGTACCAGTTGCTTGGACTAATTGTTTCCATGCATCTTTGGTTTTCTTCATTTGTTTTTTGCTCCGGATGAGGAGAGACCCATTGTTGCATCTAGATGGCTCCTTGCAAGCTTTTAAGATCCCAGTCATTACTAACAATGAGTAATGGTGGAATAATGGTGGTATGCTATGCCAACTGAGCTTGATGTACCCTGGGACTATGGTCCCGAGCACACAGGTTAACTACTTGCTCCCTCTAGGTAGCTGGCTCTGGGCAAGAAGTGACTACAACTTTGTCCCTTGTCAGCTCTACTATATACCTGGGAATTCTTATACAACATACAATTACACTTGCACAAATATTGTTTGCTAACCCTGTATATGGTCTTGGGCACACTACCCCCTCCATAGTCATACTAATAGTTCAGCCTATCCACCCATCTATCTACTCGTATATCAGTGTTTGCCATCACTGATATCATAGTACTGTATGTGCAAAACAGTTCATTTTTGTTGTCTGTACCTTCCACGCATCTCTCTATGACTTCTTCTCTCTCAAAGCCACTGTGCTGATCATTCACATTTGGTACATTGCCCTTCTCTTCATCCAAATCTATCTAACAGTGTTCCCTCCCTTTACTTCCCCTCCCACTCTTAGTAACCAACAAAGAAAATTTCCTTCCATATAGAAACCTGTCCTTGACTTTTTATAATAATGGATTAATACAATATTTGTCCTTCTGTGGTTGACCTATTTCACTTAGCATAATATCCTCCAAGTTCATCCATGTTATGTGGGGTTTTGCAGATTCTAAATTATTCTTTAGTGTTGCATAATATTCCATTGTTTGTATGTACCATAGTTTGGTTTTCCATTCTTCTGTTGATAGGCACCTATGTTGTTTCCATCTTTCGGCTATTGTAAATAGTGCTACAATGAACATGGGTATGCATACATCTGTTCTTGTCCTGGCTGTCATGTCTTTAGGAGAAATACCTAGTAATGGAATGACTGGGTCAAATGGTATTTCTAATTCCAACTTTTTAAGGAATCACCATACTGCTTTCCACAGTGGTTGTATCATTTTACAGTCCCACCAGCTATGTAGGAGAGTCTACATCCTGACCAGCATATGTTATTTTCTGTCTTGTGAACTTAGCTACTAATGCTGGGGCAAGATGGTGTCTCATTGCTGTTTTGATTTGCATCTCTCTAATGACTAATGATCGTGAGGATTTCTTCATGTATACTGGCTACCTGAATATCCTATTTGATGAAGTGTCTATTCATGTCTTCTGCTCATTTTTAATTGGATTATTTGTCTTTTTTTGTTGAGATGTTGGAGGTGAAAACACTTATTCTTATATTTCATAAATGTGTTTATTTTAAATAATGTGATGGGGATTTAAAAAAAAATGCTTATTAATACCATGGCCATTGGCTTCAACAAGCTGATTTTTATTTCTAGAAAATTCTATTTTAAAATTGATCATTTTTTTAAGATAACAAAATATAATCTCCAATGATTAATTTTGATTGAGATTATTCAGCTGTATTTCAGATACCAATTATGAATTGCTGGATGAAGTGGTGTGTCTAAATGTCTATTCCATTAGATCTATCTAGTATGTTATTCTTGGAATTCTATAAATATTTATTAATAGCAAAAAAATCATAGTTTCAAATTTTTACAAGGCTTATTGAGGTGTTTAATACTCACACGATCTAATCACATCACAAACAAAAATCTCATTGTGCAAAATTAGACATTCTGCATCTTAAGTAGACATTAAATGATGGCAATGATACAACAAATATATAATGCTTCTGAATAGTAGCAAATTCACCAGTTGAAAAATTAGATACTCAACTATTTTTTTTGTCAGCTTTCTCCAACTTTGTTTATTAAATTGTTCACTTTTTTCAAGTGAAATTTTATACAGAATCTCAATAAATAGATAAAAACAAAACTTAAGAGTTAGAACAGGCCATGCCTGGTCTTCCACCATTGCCCTACCCATGTCTGTCCCACCCCTCCCCACTGCATCCTCTAAACCCTGAAGCACCCTTTTCTGAAAACACAGTTTAAAAACCACTTCCCTAAAGCCTCTTACACCAAACTCCAGTAACAAAGGGAAATGCACTTCTTGGGATGAGAGCTCCACTGCTCACCTGACTCCAAGGTTCTGGAATCACATTGCAAAGAAACCATTTTACTGTTGTGATTTAATTATCCTTATATAGATGTGAGTTTGCCTTATATAGATGTGACCTTGGAGTTCGGGTCTAATGCCATACACATTTGTTTTATTACATGTCATGCAAGACATTATCATTGTCAAGTAAATAATCACTTTACATTTAAATTCCCTAAGAGGGCCATCAGAGAAAAGTCTCAGCCAAGTAACACTGGGAAGTCTCTGGGAATCCTCATCTGTGAGCCTACCTTGTATTCTTGGATAATTCCATTCTGATGATCTGGAGGAGGAGGATCCCAAGAAACACTAATGCTTGTGCTATTGTGGCTTCCGACTGTCAGCACAGTGACAGACTGTGGAGGGGCACTTGGGGCTGCAGAGGGAGCAATTAGAATAAACACAAATGGTAAGTCATGGGGTGGATTACTGCTGCTTACAGAATATGAATATCAAGAGAGGATGAATGAGCTTCCGACTTCCAGTAGTTCTGAATTTGCATACAGTGTTCAATTGTGACACTTTTGAAAAAATGTCTTTAAAATATAATGGAGAGATTTAAAGCAAATGCAACAGCTGTGGTAATATGCACTCATTAGTAAATGTAACAGCCAATAGTAAATTCTCATGAGTGATTTCTATATCCCAGCACTTAGCTAAGTGCCTCACTTGATTCTCACAATAACCTCACAAAGTAGAGACAATGCTTATCTCACTTTTGCAGGTGCAGAAACAGATGGTTACTTGAACAGACTTCACAAGGTCAAAAAGCAAGGCAGGATTTGAACCCAAGTCTATATGATTCTAGAACTTCAGTTCCTTCAACTCTGACGGGTTGTCTTTGTGAAAAAACACTGCTATAAAACATATTTTAAGAGGATATATTTCAAAATTTTAACAGTAATTATCTTTTCATGGTGGCATTATTAACAGCTTTTTGTTTAATTATTATTATTGCTTCATGATTTATTTAATTAATAAAAAATTAAAAACAGCTTTAATTTCCACACACAGAGAAGAAAAATTGTTTTATTTTCATATTGGGCAAAATGATTGAATGTGATAATTCAACCACTAATTTAAGATTTAAAACTTACTTTATATAGATGGGCAAATAAATCTGATGATATAAATGATAACAGTTTATGTTGGGTCAAATGTGAAATGAGCACATTTTAATTTCTCACAATAATTCTTTTCTTTTATAGTTTCCTCCATAACTAACTACAACCACAAGATGAAAAGATGAGTGAGAAACTATTTCTAATTTTAGATCGCAGCATTTCCAATATAGTGCATCTGAGAGCTGAGAAATAGTCATTTTTCAAAAAAAAAAAAATTCTTCTCAGTAAATCTCTGGATTTAAACCAAATGTAGGAAAAGGAAACTCAGAAGACTATATAAAATCCTCCTTGACAGTTAAAATATCAAAGAATTTTGTAGTATTAAAGGCTTTTCCTAGAAAAAGGTCAATGCTTTAAAGCTCTATATAGTTTAGTACTTTTAAAATTCATAAAGTGGAATTCTAAGAAAAATTTTAAGAGCCTGTCAGTAAGGATTCCTATGTTTGGTAAATTTGTCTTAAGGACATACTTCATTGAGGCCTGGCCATGTTTGCACCGAGATAGGACACAACATTGCTCTTTTACTATTTCTCTAATAATATTGCTCCAAAATATGGCATGATGACATAAATTCAACCACTTGTCTACCAGCTCTGCAGTTATTAAGTAGAATACATTGAAAAATAATACTTTTCAAAACTGGTTTCTCATTTGCCTGGCTGCTGGCTTGGAGAGAACACCGTTCCTGCTTCCTGACAGGTCAATTATGCCAGCACTCAACTGCTTTCTACAGATGTGAAAGAACCCAAAGCACCGCTCATCATCCCCAGATATAGGCCAGCTGAGTTCCATTTGTTACCTTCACAAGGCCACAGAAGCTGGAAATGAACGCATACTGAATGGTGACAAATGTCTGATCCAGAGGAAGAACCTAGCTGCAGTGAAATGGATTTTGGGAAGTATGCTTCGAATGTAAACTTCTATATTAAATGTGTCCACCCCACTTATGAGCACTACAATTTTGCAGCATCAAGGAAAATTATATGGTAAATAAAGAAGTATTATTAACTTTTTGTTATTTTTCCTTATTCTTTACACATCCTACAAGTAGACTAATGAAACTCACACCAAACTCACTGCTGTCAAGTCATTTCAGACACATAGCGACCCCTCCTTGGGTTTCCAAGGTGGTATCTCTATGGAAGTAGATAGCCTAATCTTCCTTCCGAGGAGTGGCTGGTGTGTTTGAACCATCAGCCTTCTGGTTAGCAGTCAAATGCCTTAGGTACTACGCCATCAGAGCTCCCAAGACTAATGATGCCTTTAAATAATAACTTCTGCTCATGCAAATATTTTACACTGTAAACTATGTGAAGAAAATATTTTATAAGAAACATATATTTGAAAAGCTTTTAGTCAAATCAGGATAATTACATGTCAGCATGAGATATCTACATAAATTTTGTTTAAATTACTGCTGCTCTTACATCACATTTTATATGTTTAGAGAAAAGTATTTTAATGAATTTTTCATATAAAATATGTACAAAAGCAGAAAAACCAAAACTAAAACCAAACACACTGCCATTGAGTCAATTCTGACTGATAGTGACCCTACAGGACAGAGCAGAACCCACAGGGTTCCAAAGCAAGAGCAGAAAAAGAAGAAACTTATGATATCATATTTGGCATCTAACTTTGGTTATTTTGATGGTATCATGTATCATAAACCCTCCCTTTAGTGAAGGAGACAATAGGGAATGGGCTAGTTGAAACCTACATTAATCTCATGTCCATTATACCTTAAACTATCTATAGTCAAGAAAAGTTCCAAAGGTGAGGAAAAATTAAAAAAAAAAAAAAAAAAAAAACTTCTCTAAGAAGAAAACTACTGCAAATACGCAAGTAGCTTTTTGGGTTGAAATTATGGGTCAGGCTGTCAAAAACCACAGAGAAATTCTATGTGGGACTATAAAAGAAAATGTCACCCTTGAAATGCCAAAGAACAAGAAGTCACAATTAACAGCCTATGTTCTTGTATTTCCTGTAGCTGGTCATTTAACTAAGCTAAATGAGCTATAAGTCACATAAAAAATATTGGAAAATATTATAATCAAATTCCAGTCTAGAGACAAACATGAATTTGGGGCAAATATTTACTTAAGAAGAATTTAAATTATTTGAATGCATTTTTTAAAAAGCTATCACAGTATATGTATTTCTCAGAATAAAATGAGAAAATCACCCTTCCTTAATTCATTTTTAGATTACCTTTTTCTATGCTTCTAAGTATGATGATGATAAACTAGTATTGCAGCAGAAATAGATTTATTATGATATAGTTTGGTTTATGTTAGAAATCTAAACACTGACCTTCTTCAGTAGTACGAACTATTTTAGATTCACTATCCATTCCCTGGAACTCATTAAAATATGGTCGAACTTTAATTTCATAAGTCACTCCCTTTTTCAGATTGACTAAAACTGCATTTCTTTCAGTTGGGACTTTGGCATCTAAATTCTGCCATGTTAGCGTAGCCTGCAGGCCAGAAGTCTGACGATACATAATCCGGTAGCCTTGAATAAACTGGGGCTGGCGATCCACCTGAAAGACAACAAAGAACCTTTGAAAACAAATGAAAATATTTCATCATCTTTTCTCTTGTCCCAATTTCATTCCTCACGAACTATCATCCAAATGGCACCTGGCTTTCTAACTCATCTTCCTCCTTGTAATAAATATCTGATTCTGAGTTCATATAGACCCAAAGTTATTTCCAAAACCGAGAGTGGAACATCTCTTTCTTCTATATAAAGTACCTATGGTATCCAAGACACCTACTTAAGTGATTAAAATCCTAGGCCTGTTGTTATTGTTGTTATTTGCCGTCGAGTCGGCCCTGACTCACAGCGACCCCTCCTTGGGTTTCCGAGGCAGTATCACTAGGGAAGTAGGATTGCCCAACCTTCCTTCCGAGGAGTGGCTGGTGGGTTTGAACCGCCAGCCTTCTGGTTAGCAGTCAAGTGCCTTAGGCACTATGCTACCAGAGCTTCTAATCCTAGGCCTAGTCTTGCCAATTTCCCCACCTTTATTTCTCATCTCCACTACCCATCTGTCAGTTTCTCAGACTGTGGTGACTTCCCTGTTGCTGCATTGCTGGAAGTTATGCCACCAGTATTTCAAACACAAGCTATATCACCCATGGTGGACAGATTTATTGAGGCTCCCAGAATAAGACAGACTATGAAAAAAGGCCTGATGCTCTAATTCTGAACATCAGACAATGAAACTTTATATGTCACAACAGAACACTGTGTGACTTGCTTGCTTTGGACACATTATCAGGAGGAATTAATTACTAGAAGGACATAGGGGGACATCACATGAGTAGAACATCATGGTTGGTGAAAAAGAGGGCCAACAAGGGTGAAGGAGACCCTCAATGAGATAGGTTAGCCCAATATGTTCAACAACGATCTGAAATCTGATGGCAATCGTAAGAATGACGCAGGACTAGGAAGTACTTCATTGTGTTATACATACGGTCACGATGAATCTGACTCAACAACAGCAATCTAACTGTGTGTCGGTTTGCCTAACGATCTATTTACCTATGTATTTCAGATCTACTTTCTTTTTCCCTGTGCTCAACAAATATCTGTTTTTGTGGCTTTATGCACAATATGCATTTTGTCAAGAATTTCCATTCTTATTCTTTGTCTATTCACTAATAATGTTACACTCTTAAAATATACTTTTTGAGTTCCTACTAATAGATGTTGGAAATTTTACTAAGCTCTAGTGATAAAATGAGTAATTAAAATAGAGTCATTATTTGCCCTCAGAGTGCTTAGAATATAAGCAGAACATGACCCTTATCCAATAATCCTCCAAACCATGATCAAGTTACAATCATAACAAATAAATATAAGCCAATGTTAGGATCAACGTACAAGGAGCTAAGAAAGCCTACCATGGAGAGTATGTGACTGAGTCAGGAAGGGCTGATAAAATTTCCCTGAAGAAATAACCAAAAGAGATGTGCAAGAAGAGTAGGATTATTCCAGGATAGAGAAGATTAGGGGCAATATTATGAAATCTCTGTAGCTGGAGAATGTATATTAGAGAGATTAAAAGTCATGGAGCTAGAGAATATTTCAAGATGCACATTCAACCTGGACACCCATTAACAAATATTAAAAGACTTTTATTAATTTGCCAACCTCTGCCTCATTCAATAATCCTTGGATTGACATTATTGACAACTTAATTGATTTCTTTATTTAAGGTACAGATTATTAATTTAACAAAGATCTCAGATTTTGAATCTAAAACTAATATCAAATAGAAACCAAAAACAAAACCAAACTCCCTACTGCAGAGTCAGATCCAACTCATAGCAACCTCTTCTTGGGATTTCGAGACAGTATCACTATGGAAGTAGATTGCCCAATCTTCCTTCCGAGGAGTGGCTGGAGGGTTTGAGCCACCAGCCTTCTGGTTAGCAGCCAAATGCCTCAGGCACTATGCCACCAGAGCTCCTAATACCAAATAGAGTTCATTGGCAAATGTCATTGTTGTTTTTACAACAATAAAAAATTAGAGTTTCTGAAAAATATTTTTTTTCACTTTGACAAAAATTGCATAAAATTCAAATACATACACACGTATGATGAAAAATGAACACTCTTTGTTGGAGTTGCACTTTTATTAAACAGTTGTTGCTTAAGTTGTACTGTCATTTCATCTTCAGAGGGAAAATGGTTTGTAGCTTTTCAACAGTGTTTAATGTCTTGACATGTTCTAGAAATGCTTGATTTAAATGTAAACTATAACAGTACTTTTTCCAATTAACATTTCATATTGTACTTTAATAGCCATATTGTAAGAAGTCTTTAACTGTCACGTAAAGTGTAAAAATCAACGGAGAAGAGATGGAATGCACTCTTTCTGGAAAGACTGAGGAGAAACGGGAATTAGAGAATGTGATGAAGGAGAGAGCTACTTATTTTAGCTTTCAAAAAAGGTCTTTATCCAACTGTCAGCATATTATAAATAAAGGTATTCTTTATATATCAATTCTGAACATTTCTTCTTTAGTTACAGCATTGTTATATATTGTGTTTTTTTTCAATTTCAAAAAGTTAAAAATACTGAACTTCAATAAAAATATAGAACAAAGGGACGATTTTCTAAGTTTGGAGTAGCTAAGCCAGAAGACTCCATTAAGTTGGTGGGGGAATGAGTGCATTTCTATACATAGATAATTTCAATTTCCCAGTGGAGTCTCAATAAGTAGGATTTTCTTTGCCCACTTGATAGTTTCTAAACCTCAGAGATTTTCTGGAATCAGTTCTATACTTGTGTGAGAGTAAGTCAAGAAAAAGTGAGCCAAGATGTGATGCAGAAGCTTATACTTTTTGAATCCTCACCCACGCTACCAATTTGTTGTACCCACTGTCACAGTCTTTGAAAAGAAGGAGTTGTTCTGACATTCCAAAACAAAGTAACCAAGAAGCAAAAAAAGTTAAATTTATGAAAACCAACAAGAGATGCCTTTCATCAAAACTGTCAATATTCAGAAAGATCCTTGCAACATATGTTAAAACAACATTAAGCTTGCATTTTATAAACTTCTCTGCATTCACTTTAAGTGAATTTATATACTGAAAGAAAGACATAACTCACAATAATAGCTTGTTAATACTGAAAGAAACAAGCTGTGTTTTTAAGAAGAACATTAAGCAGCTGTTTCCAGATGAAGGGAGTCTGTAAATCAGGGTAAATTGGTTTTATCCATGTTTGGTTTTCATTAATTAAGTGTTTCAGGGACCTTATGAAGCTTATGTTTGCTACACAACATTGCCTTCCCCACTTCAGTGTATACTGCCTTTAACCAGCTTATAATAATAACTTACTTAATAACTAAACAGTTTAACTTGATTTTGTGCAGTTTTAATTTATTTTTTATGGAGGAAATTTGTTGTTACAGGTGGAAGCAAAGATGAATATGTTGAACATTACCTTTTTAAAAAAAAAAAAAAGTGGGATTTTTATTGGCTATGCATTTGACACCCTTGACTTTTGGAGCTCATTTTGACAGGCACTCATTTTGAAGTTAAACCATATGCTTGTTACTTGTTACATTAACATTCTGATTATAGGGAGGAGGATTTTGCTTTATATGACTCTTTTAAAAATAGGTATATTTCTGGAACATGAATAAAGAAGAGTCATCAAAAGGAAGATATGAAATTGTGAAAAAAAGCTTCAGACTTTCAGCAGTAAGGTCTCAATTTGAGTTATATCTCAGTTTCCTAAACTTAGTACACCTCAGCTTACTTAGTCTGTCAAATAACACCTCTTCTAAGGACACAGGAAAAATTAAATGAGCTCACGTAAGTGAAAGCACTTTGTAAATTTTGAGAGCCATAGTTTTTGACAGAGATGGGATGTCCCAACCAATTGACCTTTCTCAAATACACATATTAGCACATGTGTAACTACAAACACCTGAGAGACAATATACTGTGATATAATTGAATCTCTTTTTGTTTTTAAGCTAAACAAAAAACAAAATGTAAGAAAATGACTGATTTGATTATTCAACACACAGTTACTGGAAAAAAAAAAAATGCTAACAGACATTCTGCTGCTCTGGGAAAAAGAAAGGAAAGATGAGGAGTCAAAGAAGTCACAGGCCCAGGAGGAGATAGCTATGAAAATTAGTAGTGACAAGCGTCTTGGGATGTAGAGATGGATATGACCAGGAAGAACTCCCAGTCTACTGACATGGAATTTTTATCTAATTTTACTGACTTTTAAACTCAGTGGTATTTAAATTAATTAACTTCATATAATGCGATGACTTTGAGACTTACACAAATACTTCTCATATATAGAAGAAGGAGCCTAAATGAAGCCCTTTTAAAACTCCCAACAGAGCAGAACAGACTTTCTTCATTGAGAAAGAAGGGAAAATCTGCTATTAAAAATGCAACTATTTCTTTTGCTTTGTTAATTTTGAGTTTAGTCAAAACTACTGAAAGATGAGAGAGGTGGCAGATAATGTCCCTACTGTGGCAGCACAAAAATGATGAGACAATTATGTTTACTTCATGGGAAAAGAAGAATAGAAACCATTACAAAACACAGAATAAGTGTGTGTAAAATTATATTAAAAATGTTATTAGAAAAATGAAACACTGCGTATTCATAATTACTCTTACAACATTCTACTCTTACTATTAATTTATTCATTTTATTACTCAGTTTTTCACTTACATGCTCAAAATTTGATTGATATGTGATGTCCATTTTAAGGAGTAGCAAAATGTTCTACTCAGGATCACATTTCAAAATTTTGCCACTAACCGCTTTTCCTTTGTACTAAATATTTAATCTACAATTTACTCACAGTTATCTTTAAACTGGAAAAAAGAAAGTACTTGTGATATAAGGAAATTGTAATCCCATCTTTACCTACACAATGATTTGCGATACTGGAGACAGTGTTCAACCTATCTGCAGTGACTTCCTTTTATAACATTATAGAATTGAACTAAACAGCTTTAAATATTATTTAAAATTCACTCACCCTAACACAATAATGGTACCATATTTCCCCATACAGATGTAGTTTTTATTTTTTTTTAATAGAAGATAGAGTTTTGTAGGATAGAGTTAAACACTTCCTCTTTCACTGAAACTTCTCTTTTGTGTGTGTGTGTGTGTGTGTGTGTATCTGTTACTGTTCTTACCCCTGTGTATTTCCATTATGAATTTCCATGTCTCTCTCAACTAGATTTGTGTTCTTTATGTAGGACATCGCCATATCTAGAATATAACTGATGTCATAGTTAAGGTTAATGTGTTAACTTGGCTGGGCCTGGTTTTGAGTGGCAGGGCAGCTGAATGTAGATATTCACCATGATGAGACTGGTAATCAACTCCGTGGTGGACTCTACTATGAGCAGCTGAGTAGTTGTCTTAGGAATGTGTTCTGCTTCCAGTATACAAGAAGATACTATGAGAAAGGTCTTGAGCTTTTTGGCATGCTTGGAACCTGCATTTAGCTGAGTCTTCAATCAGCAGCCTGCCATGCTGGCCCTGCTGATCTTGGATCTGTTTCTGGACTTGGAGTAGTGAGGTGCCATGTTATTTGGTAATCTTGGGACTATGTCATTTTACTAGTTGACCTTAGGTTTGCCAGCCTCAGCAGCCAGCAGCTGCCAGAGTTAAGAGAAGCCTCCAGGTTCGGTGGGCTTGGATCAAGAGGCAAAGCTGAAACGCAAGTTCAAGGGCTCTTCACCCAGCCTCTGGAGTTGGCACTTTGAACTTGAACTTCTGGCCTCCTAAACTGTAAGAGAATAAATCCCTATTTGTTAAAGCCACCCATTTGTGGTATGTCTGTTAGAGCAGCAATTGAGAACAAAAATGGAATTTGGTACCAAGAGAGTCGGGTGCTGCTCTGACAGATACCTAAAATGTGGAAACAGGAGTGGAGTTCATTCTTGGACCTGAGACCCCTGCACAGAGACCAGAAGAGGCAGTAGCAGAGAGATGGCAGCAGCAGAGCTGAGAGTGACAGGCTTACTAGCCTATGGAGGAGAAAGCTGGATGCCATTGGGCAGGCAACTTCCTGGCAAAGTCTGTTGCTTTTCTGAGCATTAATTGGTAGAAGAGACTGGCATGAGATGGAGTAGCAGGTCTGCCAGGCCATGCAGCAGAAAGATGAAAGACCTTTTGAAATGGGCTGCCTTCAGGCCTTAATTGGCAGAAGCTGAGAGACCAAGGAAATGGGAACCAGAACTGCCTCAACTTCAAAGGGGTAGGCCATGGCTTCTGGGGGTGGAACCATCATAACCTCCAGGTTTCCAGGAGTCAGGCCTTCACTAATTTGGCCCTGGAGTGTGGTGCTTCCTTCACAAGGGTCAATAGGATGGGGTCATACATGCTGCCCCAAAGTGAGGGGACAGGGCTGCCATGCCTAATAGGCAGAGGAATGGGGTCTGCCAGGCCAAGGGGTGAGGTCATCACTCAGGTAGCCTATGAGACTTGGGCCATCCAATGAAAGAGATATGTATAGGTCCCAAGTTGACAAGGGGTGGAATTGTGTAGTTAAGGTTGTGTGTCAACTTGGCTGGGCCTGGTTTTGAGTGGCTGGGCAGCTGGATGTAGTTATTCACCATGATGAGACTGGTGATCAGCTCCATAGTGGACTCTACTATGAGCATGTGAGTAGCTGTCTTCGGGATGTGGTCTGCTTCAGTATATACGAAGAAGATGCTTTGAGAAAGGTATTGAGCTTTTTTGCATGCCTGCAACTAGCATTTAGCTGAGTCTTCATTCAGTAGCCTGTCATACTAGTCCTACTGATCCTGGGACTATTTTTGGACTTGAACTAGTGGCCTGCCATGTTGTTTGATAATCTTGGGACTGTGCCATATTACTTGTCAACCTTGGGTTTGTCGCCTCAGCAGCCAGCAGCTCCCTGAGTTAAGAGAAGCTTCCAGCTTCAGTGGGCTGGGAGCAAGAGGCAGAGATGAAGCTCAAGTTCAAGGGGCCTTCACCCAGCCCCTGGAGCTGGCACTTTGAACTCAGATTTCTAGCCTCTTAAACTGTAAGAGGCTAAATTCTTATTTGTGAAAGCCACACATTTGTGGCATTTTTCTGTTAAAGCAGCACTACAGAACCAAAACAACTGGTCCTCCAGAAATGATTTTTGGATTGGAGTTGTTCAATGAAGTTATTAATGTGTGGTTTGTGATCGTTATAAACCATTTAATCAGTGTTTTATTGTTTCACAACAACAAAAAAAATCTGACTAATTCATTTCATTATGTTGTATACACCAAACATAACTTAAGAACATATTAAAAATAACAAGTTTTCCTTTCTCTATCTCTTTTGCTGAAGAAGTTCAGGGATGTGGGTAAAATATTTAGTGTCCTAAAGAAATTTGGACTTTGGACTCCAGAAGGGAATAAGATCATTTTATCTATCCTCTTCTTTTTACTTCCATGACAATAAAATACTAACACTACTACTACTAATGATAATATATATTAATTATAAATATATTCTAAATAACCAACATTAAAGTTTTAGCAAAAATCTTTCAGATGTCCCTAACTCAAATTACTTAGACAATGTATAAGATCTGCCACATTTATGGAGATCTTAAAGACAATATGTTTTTCTCTCATCCTAATACATTTCCTTGTGTACTTTTACACATTATAATGGGGAGTACGTCGGCTTAAATGAGAAGTTGGGACTAATGATATCAGGCACAAAGAAGAATATCACATTTGGCCCCCTTCACATAAACACATACAAGTATTCGTATATTCTAATAAGACTAATATGGCTATTTCCAAACTATACATTGTTTTCACTGCACTAGCCACTGAAGAAAACATTTTGAATTTTGAAATAACAGTGGTCAGATTGACATATTTAATGATGCATGCCACTTGAGCATTTGTAGCATATCGGAAAATATCTACTTATTTCTTACTCTGACCTAATTCTTTGAGTACATATGAAAAAAAATTATATACAAGTTCTGATGCTATTCTATAAGTTTTAGTCTACTTAAAAAAATGTATTATTGACTTTAATTCAGAAGATAACTTGATTAAAGCTGTAAATGTTTGAGTTTCAAATCATGTCATCAAGAAAATAGGAAATCAACATATGGATTGGGAGAAAATACTTGCAAAGCATTTATCTCATAAAGAAATTACACCCAGAATATATAAAGACTTCTTATAGTTCAATATTAAGACAAATAAGTTCATTTTAAAATGGGCAAATAATCTGAGTAGACATTTCTCTAAAAAAGATGGTCAAATGAGCAATAAGCACATGAAAAGATGCACAGTATCACTGTTGTTGTTGTTGTTATTTGCCATCGAGTCGGCCCCGACTCATAGCGACCCCTCCTTGGGTTTCCGAGGCAGTATCACTACAGAAGTAGGAATGCCCAACCTTCCTTCTGAGGAGTGGCTGGTGGGTTTGAACCGCCAGCCTTCTGGTTAGCAGTCCAGTGCCTTAGGCACCATGCTACCAGAGCTCCTACAAAATGCAAATCAAAGCCACACTGAGATACCACTTCACACCCACTAGAGGGGCTACAATCAAAAAGAAAAACAAGAACAATTTTCTGTGAGGATGTGGGCAAAATGGAACTTTCAAACATTTCTGGTGGGAACACACAGTGGTACAACCACTTTGGAAAATATTTTGGCAGTTCCTCAAAATGTTAAATAATGATTTACCATATGATCCTAGCTATACAACCAAGAGAAATTAAAACCTATCTCCATATAGAGACATGTACATGACTGTTAATTATAGCCCCAAAGTGGAAACAACCCAATGCACATCAAATAAGGAATGGATAGCTAGAATGTTATGTATCCACAAAATGGAATACAATTTGGCTATAAAAATACTACAACATGCATCAAATTCAGAAACATTATACCGAGTGAAAGAAATGACACACAGAAGATCCCAAATTATATTCCATTTATATGAAAGGTCCAGAATAAGTAAAGTTATATAGAGACAGTAGATTTGTATCTTAAGGCAAGGATACAGGGAATGGGGATTGATTGTTAATGGACATAAGGTTTCATTTTAGGGTGATGATAATGTTCTTAATTTACAGAGATGGTTGCAGAACTCTAAAATTAGTAAAATAATAATAACAACTTGAATTTTGCAATTTTTATTTATGATATGTTAATCATATCTTAATACACACTGCTGTCAAGTCAGATCTGACTCATAGTGACCCCTCCTTGGGTTTGCGAAGTGGTATCACTACAGAAGTAGATTGCCCAACCTTCTTTCCAAGGAGTGGCTGGTGGGTTTGAACTGCCAGCCTTCTGGTTAGCAGTCAAATGCCTTAGGCACTACACTACCAGAGCTCCTCATATCTTAATAAAGCTCTTAAAATTCAAAAGACTGTTTGAATCACATTCTCTTACTGTATTATATATTTTTCTTGTCATTGATTTTATATGGTAAAGATTTTATTTTTCAATTTTTTGGTGTGTATTTTTCTTCAAAGAAAATAAAAGAAACTATCTATCATTTATACAGCTTTTGAAACTTACTGTCCAAGTGACTTGAACTGTGGTGGGAGTTAATACAACTGGAGTATGAAGACGAACAGTGACATCTCCTAGTTCTTTCTGTACTTGTCTGTGATCCACTCCTTGTGCTGGTGGGCTGATATCTGCAGGTAGACATCATTACAATTTTTAAAATTTATAGCAAAATTCCAATTTATTTTACATAAGCTAATATTACACCATTAGAAATAATTACAGGGAAAAAATCCTTGTGACTAAAAATATATCCAAGGAATGTTGTTTCATATATATATATATATATATATATGTATGATGCACACACATGTCATATACATATCACAATGCTAGGATATGATTTGAAAGATGATATTAATCTTCACTAAAAAAATATTTGCAAGAGTGTTTATAAATTCTCACCCCCATTAAAATACACATGAATTGCTGTGAAAAGACCTTTTGAATACAAACATTATTTCCTTAATAAAGAAGACAGCATGGGTTCTAAAATGTCTTTAAAAGATCATTTTCTTATATCAAAAAACAACTGTTGCCCTACAGTCAGTTCTAACTCATAGCAACCTTATAGAGCAGAGGAGAACTGTCCTATAGTTTCCAAGGCTGTAAAACTTTATAGAAGTAGACTGCCTCCTCTGTGAGTGGTTAGTGGGTTCAAACCACTGACCTTTGAGTTAGCAGTCAAACTCTTAACCACTGGGATACTAGGGCTTTTTAAAAAAAGGAAAAAAAAAAAAAGATGCTGGCATTTTGCTATATTGAAGGTTTCTCCCAAGCAGGAAATGGGGACATATATAAAATCTGGTGTTTAGGAATTTGTCCAGTCCCTTGTCCAACTAGCAGACATGGTTTTCTTGCTCCTGGACCTGTTTTAGTACAGGAGTATGGAAATAAGGGGCACAGGGGACTGAATTATGTCAGAGCTAACCAGAGTGGAAAAGAGAAGTGAAAGAATCCCTCAAGTTCACAGAGATACATTTTACTGAAAAACTTAAACTATTAATAAAATGTACCAATATAATAAATTCTAAGCAATACTCCAGTATTTGACACAGGGTAATGCAGCTGCTTTTGGATAATGGGGAAGAGAGGGGGAAAGGGGAAAAATAATGTAGAGGTTAAGTACTACTCTATCATTCCAAGCAGTGGTTTGTATTCAATGTATTCATCAAGAAAAAAGGTAAGTTATAGACATCCAAGTCCACTACATTTTTAATAAACACTGAATTTCACACATACTCAACTCAGCTTTTCTAACTGGTACACTTCAGTGTAAGTTGATATTATTTTTCTCCAAGTACTTGATTTTAGGAAGGAAATCCAATTTAAAATGATTTATTTTCCTAATCTTGTTTTCTCTTATTTTCCCGGCCACAGTGCATGTCTCTTCTAAAAGTATTTGTAAGCACATATCTCAGCCACAATGTCAATTATGTGTACTAACTGAAATTGGGAAATAAATAATTAGGAGCCATAATTTGACCTGATGATTTTTCTTCAGTTCCATATTTTTTCATCTTTAACAAAAACAATAAATAGCAGAACTTTTACTTGACTTAGCAAAAAAAAAAAAAAAAAAAAAAGTTGATGTTAATTATAGTACAAGTATTTGCTATCTTATTGAAAAGATATCTCTAGATTCTATGTACTTAATATGTTTAGAAAACAAAAGCTCACACTGAAAGGTCCTCTCTGAAAACAAGTGCTTTGCAGAATGTAAAGCTTCTGACAGTATGGTGTCAAAAAATGATGCTGACATTCAGACACAAAACATGAGTTTTCCTATTAAATATCTGTTAAGAGAACATAACTTGTGCTCTCTATAATCTCTCGACTGGAACAAGCCAGATCACAAATAACTTTTCATTAATCTTTTTTTGACCCTTTCACTGAGAAGTTATTTTATGAGTTAAGATTTAGTGACTGGCATAGTTATTGAATGATCATGGATGTCTGCCGGACTTAATCACATCAGAAGTCTTCCCCATTCTGTTATCTCCCCACCTTGCATTGCAGCTACACATAAACACTGACTATTTCTACCCACACAGATACAAGTGATCTTAATAAGATATGTGATTTAGGTATACCATAATTTCTTGATTTAAAACTATATCTCTCTTTTATTTCAATTTAATAATTTAATTTACTCATTAAATTCAGAAGCACTGGAAGCAATTAGATCCAGGTAAGGTAAAATATAACCAGGTTCATGTCTTCAAAATTGTTGTTGTGCTTTTTCTTTCTCCTTAGACATGTTCTTTACTTACAGGCCCTTTATCATAATGGAAAATTAATCACATTACCGCTTAGAGAACAATAGCAGAGTGGCACTCCCTCCTCCCTTAACTGTCATCATGTCAGCAATGTTACAAAGTCACATGGTAACTTTATTTCACTTGATTCCTTTAAAGCACCCTTCTCTGCTATAATAGCACCCTAGTTACTATCACGGAACTACATTGTAATTATAATAATATTTTATGGCTGTGTGGTGCTTTTCATAGCATAAAAATACTACTTTGAATTATATCTTGCTCAGAGAATTTTACAAGTAAGAAATAATTAACCCTTTCTCTAGAACCCTGTGGGAAATAGGTTGAAACAAATAATAAAGTCTCCACTCCTATTTTACTAATTTCCTTCACCTCCTAGTAAAGAAGAAAACTTTAATGTAGTTTATCATTAAACCCTAGACTTCAGTGCCTTTTCAACCTGAAGACACAGTGTACTAAAAAAGAGATGAGGAAACCTTCCATTTTGATCTAATATTTTAATATTCTGGATCTTTAAAATATTAGTTAAAAGAACTGTGTGCCTCAGGAAAAAAAGTGATGTTCTGCTTTCAGAAGTAAACTACATCCTTCAAATCTTTGATTTAGTAAAGTGCACTGTAACAGTGGTTGTAAACCTGGAGCATCAGCATCACCTGGAAGGCAAGTTAAAACAAACGCTGGACCCATCTCCATTGGGATCTGAGTTGAGGCTTGAGGGTCTGTAGTTCCAACAAGGTTTCAGATGATGCACATACTGATTGCCCAGGAACCACACTTTGAGAACCACTGAACTATCAGAACAAAATCCTTTAACAATGGGAAATAATTTTGATACCACTATCTGGGCAACCTAAGGAGCTCTTGTAGCGTAATGGGAAAGGCATTTGGCTGCTATCCAAAAGGTTGGCAGTTCACACCCACCAGCTGCTCTGCAGGACCGAGATGAGGCAATCTACTTTTGTAAAGATTTACAGCCTTGGAAACTCAATGAGAGTCGCTTTGAGTCAGAATTGACCTGATGGCAATGGGTTTGGTTTTTTTGGTTTTAACTGGGGCACGTAACTATTGCCCAATTAATTTCAAAGAAGGAAGAAAAAAAATCCCTTTGAAATACAGTGGAGAAATACCTTAGTAGATTCAGTTTTACTATGTAAATAGACCCAATTAGTAATTGTTGTTGTTGTTGTTATGTGCCGAGAGTCGCCCCGACTCATAGTTCATATTAAATACCAAAAATATGTAAATATTCTGACCCCAATTAAGTATTCTGAGATTATTATTAAGATATTTCACAGGCTATTTCTGGGGGAAGGGGAAATAAAAAAAAAAAAA